AAGTTCATAGCTCAAACTACCCCATGTGCATGTACAACCTTAAACCACTGGCACCTTTCCCGCGTGGGAAAATAGGGAAAACAGGCTGTTTTCCCAAACTCCTAAAGATTCGGAGGTCGGGCCCGACGATGACTGCCATTGATAAATCTGATCGGCGGCCGTCGTTTCGTTTCGGCCTTCGAAAAGGTGGTGGCCCTCGGGAGGCCCGCTATTTTCCCACGCCCCAAAGGTACTAGTCAGGAAATGGGTCACGAGGCTGCATTGTGTACCGTTGGTGACTATGCTGGGATTGTCGGATGAGGCACTCGAGTTCTTGAACGTTTGTTGTCATGTCCGCATTGGACACATTGTTATTATAAGGCCATTGCAAAAGTTGTGCCCACCATGCTGGTGCCGCCTGCTCAATGCCCGCCTTGACACGACACCAATTACCCAAAGCAGCTTCATTGAGAAGGCGATGCAGTAATGTACAAATTATGAGTCAGGGACCCGGACGAAGATCAACAACAAAAGACCTAATTTTTGAAGGCATTGGCAAGAGAGGTAAAGGGTGAGGTTGGCAAAAGGGGTGCTGTGTGAAAAGGATCAGTTGATGCAAGAACAGGTGGAGCAAGAAGGGGAGGGGCCAAGCAGAAGGGGACAGAGGAACCAACGGCCAAGGACCCATTTGTGTCTGTCCAGCAATGAGGACGAAAGTGTTGTCGTGGAGATGGCAGTCTGGCCATTGGAAGGACTGCATTGAAACCGACGGGGTGAAGCGTTCGAAGTTTTCTGAACCCAAAAACCCGGGGTGCAGCAGCCCGCCGAAAGAGGGCATGATCAACAAGACCGCCATACCTACGATAAAGTGTAGGATCGATGCATTTCCGAGGTCCAAGCCGCAAAAAGTTTAATGTTGGTTGTCCACACATTGCACGGTAGAGATGGCAATGGCGAAAAGCAGCAGAAGAGTGTCATGTATGCCAATATGCTCTTGCAGCCATAGGTGTGACACAGAGCTGCTCTGTGAACCGTAGGCAGAGAGGGAGAAGAGGGCAACAAACAAGGGGTTGTGACGAACTGTTCCATTGGAGTTTCACCGACTCATCAGGAGGCTGAACCCTATCGTCCAAATGCATTATGAAGAAGGATCACAAGAATGGTTTCATTGTGCTCTTTCATGTTTGTCCTGCGCATTTTTTCTCATTTTGTTTTGCAAAGTGTGATCTTTTAGGAGATATATATTATCCTTGACTTGTCACAATGGTTTATGTATTATATGCCGACATAATACACACACACACACACACACACACACACACACACACCAGACAAGACATATCACAATGGCCACCTAGAAGGCAGGTTGTCGTTGACCTGATTAGTAGAACCCAAACCCGAACATGCCATGACCAAACTGGTGGGTTTTTTTGTCGCGTTCTTTCCCTCATCAAGTGGTGGACGCTTTCTTAGACCACCAGTAGCTCTGAGTCTCGTTGTCCAGACACGCATGTCTGCCTGCTGTTCACATTCTGAACCATCGCAGGGACAAGGCCTACCGGACGCTGATCGCCATTCTGGTAGAGTAGGTTGAGCCCTTTCCACAGCACATCGGC